ACAGCCCTACCAGCCCGGTACCCGAGATCCGCATCACCTTCCCCGACGAGGTCGACGAGTCCGGCAAGCAACAATCGGGTCGCGTTGTCGTCGTTCGCGTTGGAGACCACAGTGTCGGACTGGAGCCTGTACAAGAGGATCTCCCAGCCTACCAGCGCGACGCATCAGACCGCTTCGACTCGCTCGACCTGGATCGCATGGGCGGGCTGAAGGAGAAGGACGACAAATACTACTCATGAATCTCATGACACCAATCTCAACACCCGGCTAGACTGCTGCTACGGAAAGTCTAGCAGCCCGGGCCTCCCAGCCACTTGGCTACGACCGACTACCCTTGATGACGGCTATACCGCGCTGATTGTCAGCTTCTCCGTTCCTGCTGAAGCTGTGGCATAGCCGGCAGGGCACACCATTTATGTATATTCTCGGAGTTGACTGGCCATTTTGCTGTATACCCCCTGATGATTGGCCATCTCTTCAACGAGGTTTCTACACCTCTTACATAACTCTTATTCACTAATGTATGATATACAACTCACTCTCTAGCGACTGCTCAGAGCAGCATGAGAGCCAATACAATCCTTTGTCAAGACATACAAACCGCGTGCATTTGATCGTGACGTGAAGTGGACGTGATTGAACCAGCCCATGCAGGGTCTTTGGGTATTCTGGTACGAACGGGAAGCATGCAGGCATGATGTCAAGGCTCGTATTACAAGTCCCAAGCACAGCTAGCGACGGGCGCGAGGCGCGTACCTCGATGGCGGATGCATGACATCGGAGGCTCGGCGAAATGGGTGATCCACTTGTGGATGCTTGCGACACATCCTCACTTTTGTAAACAGCGCATCAACTTTCTTCCCATGGATTCTGTCGCTCCTTGAGGCCTCTTCAGCCATCTGAATCCCATTGAATCTCCATTTGGCATTTGCTAAGCGCCAATTGGCCACCCCTCTCCATCCGTCATGGAGAACGGCGAGGTCTTCACGCCTCTGTCCGACATCACCGCCGGCCGGAGCACCGCGCCCAGAGTTCAGAAGCCGGCGCAACAGCCACAACAGCAGCAGCCGTCGCAAGGTCAGCGGACGGCTGTACACGACCCTGATAAGGCGAAGAGGCTTGGGCAGGTGCACTTTAAGGCCGCTCATGGCATCATTGTCGCTTTCTTTACCTTCATACTGTAGGTTTCTCCATCTCAGCCCTCTCCGGGCTTTCCCCCCAAGACATGCATCGCTAACGGTTACCAGAATACTCCACATTCTCGGTATCTACCTCTTCACCAGCGGCTTCCTTCTCACGCGATTGGTGCTCGACCACAAGTCAGAATGCGCCCTCCCCCCAATCGACTCCGCGAACGCGTACACACCGGGCGGCGCGGAAAAGGGGTGCTGGCACCCGAAGACATTCAACAAAGCAGTCGTCATCATCGTCGACGCCCTGCGATATGACTTCACTGTGCCCTTCCCCGAAAAATTCGAACCTGTCGATCTCGCTATCGAAGCCGAGAACCCGTCCCAAGCCCCTCCAATCGCCCCGCGCCATTTCCACAATGCTTTCCCCGTGCTATACGAGACGGCGAGGAACCAGCCTCAGAATGCGTTCCTCTTGCCCTTCATCGCTGACCCGCCGACGGCCACGATGCAGAGGTTGAAGGGGCTCACAACGGGTACGTTGCCCACCTTCATCGACGTGGGCAGCAACTTTGCGGGCCAGGAAATTCTTGAGGATAACTTGGTTGGACAATTGAAGAATGCGGGCAAGAGGATGGTTCACCTCGGTGACGACACATGGCACGCTCTTTTCCCGGACTACTTCGAGCCGAACCTCACGCACGCGTACGATTCGTTCAACGTCTGGGATCTACACACCGTTGACTATGGCGTGAGTGAGCACATTTTCCCACTGTTGCAGGCTGAGAATGCCGACAAATGGGATGTCATATTCGGTCACTATCTGGGCGTGGACCATGCTGGACACCGTTACGGACCCGATCACCCTGCCATGGCCGCGAAGTTGAGCGAGATGGACAAGGTTTTCCAGCGCATGATTAGGACCATTGATGACGACACGCTGTTAGTTGTTATGGGAGATCACGGTATGGACGCAAAGGGTGACCATGGCGGAGAGTCGGATGATGAGATCCAGGCTGCGCTGTGGATGTACTCGAAGAAGGGTATATTTGGGCGCAGCAACCCTGCCTATGTCGCGCCTCCAGCCAACGCAAAGACTCGGCCAGTTGGACAGATCGATTTAGTCCCGACTCTCTCGCTTCTTCTGGGCATGCCCATACCCTTCAACAACCTCGGGAAACCTATCGAAGAGGCTTTCATCGGCAAGGACGGCGCTGACTACAAGAACTTGGCGACCGTCAACCGTCTGACAGCTGCGCAAATCCACAACTACCAGCATGAATACGCCAAGGTTCGAGGCATTGCTGATAGCGCAAGGGCTTCTTCGCTTGCCTTCTGGAAGAACGCAAATGACGCGTGGAACTCACTCGGAAAGTCCAAGGCCAACAGTGACGAGATGCGCCAGGCGTACGAGGCTTTCGGTGCCTACCAGCGCGACACGCTCCGCATCTGCCGCGACCTTTGGGCTCGATTCGACGTCCCTAGGATGGTCAGTGGTGTCACAGTCTTGGCCGCCAGTCTGATCGTAGTCGCACTCTACGCTAGAATCCTCCATGGCGATCGTGCCGACGTCACTCCCGTTTTCTTCACCCGAGGCGCCATTGGTCTGGTTCTTGGAGGTATCGTTGGTGTCGGCTTTACCATCTTCATGCCAGTAGACGCCAAGTCGCACGTCCTTGTCCTCTCCTCTGCTCTCACTGGAATCGTAGGCTGCGCTTCTACTTTCTACTCGCTGAGTTACCGCCTCATGCCTCCGATGCCAAATAGCATTTGGGGATGGACGAGTGTCATCTTCACTCTTGCGCTCTCTGGCGGCTTCGCAGCCAACTCATTCACCATCTGGGAGGACGAGATTCTCCTGTACTTCCTAACCACCTTTGGTGTTCTTGCGCTTATCTCGTCCTTCCGTCGAAAGAGTATTTCAGACCGGACTCTGGGCGCTTACCACTCCATCTTGTTCACCATCTTGCTCCGGGTTGCTAGCTTCTCGAGACTGTGCAGAGAAGAGCAGATGCCATACTGCAAGTCCACATACTATGGATCCGCTCTGTCCACTACATCAGCACCGTGGCAACTCGCCATACCCGTCGCCGCGGCCATCCTCATCCCCACGTTCATCAAGAGCTACTACGACGGCACCAAGAGCTACCAGCACTACGCGACCCTTTGGATAGGTCTCGCACTGCGCTTCGGCCTAATGATGTCCGCCGCATACTGGGCCCTCGACGCCGCCGACGACGGCGAATGGGCCCCCGGCTGGGAAAACATCATCCGCATCACCAAGCGCTTCCTCGCCCAGATCGTCCTCGCCATCAGCATGGCCTTTGGCTACTCAATCTACAACTGGTCCAAGCCGCTCCTCAACGTCATCATCAACAAAGACGGCGGCGTCGACGAAAACGGCGCCCCCAAGGAAGAAGTCATCATCCACGGTTTCGCAAACGTCCACGGCTCGCGCTACGCCCTCCTCATCACCATCTGGTACCTCGCCGTCGCCGTGTTGCAGAAACCCATGGGCGCAGGTGCAATCGGTATCTTAGTCTGGCAACTCTTCTCCCTCTTCGAAATCATCGACACGAATAACCTGCGTCAATCCGCCATCGGCCCCGTCGTCCTCGGCCTCCTCGGCTCCTTCCACTTCTTCAAAACAGGCCACCAAGCCACTCTCTCCTCCATCCAATGGGAATCAGCTTTCATCCCCTTGACCAAGATACGTTACCCATGGACCCCCATCATCGTCATCCTCAACACGTTCGGCGCACAGATCCTTTGCGCCATCGCGGTTCCGGCGTGTGTGCTTTGGAAGGTTAAACCCCAGAAGAAGGGCCTGCTTAGTGTGGTTACGAAGGCGGTGGCTACGCATATTTTGTTTTATGCGACTGTTAATCTGGCGACGACGATGTGGGCGGGGCATCTGAGGAGGCATCTTATGCTTTATAGGATCTTTTGTCCTAGGTTCATGGTTGGGGCTGTGGTGTTGTTGGTTGTGGATGTGGTGTTGATTGTTATTGCGCTGTGGGGGACTAGGATGAGTATGTTGAGTACGGCGGAGGTGTTTGGGTTTGGGGGGTAGATGGGATGGTGGTGAGAGGTTGGAATTTGGGGGAGAGGTCGTTGCATATATTGGCGGGCTGGGTTGTTGTTGTATTAGCATCGCTTGCAGCGTCTTTTCTGTTTCTTTGTATTCAATATAAGAAGCTCATGAAAAACATCACATGTGCAACTTCCTGATTCGCTCCTTACTTACACCGTCTTCTCGTTCCAGTATCTTGATCCTTGCCGTTCGCTCCTGCTCCTTCCGGATTCAAACGCGCCGGAATGGTCCAGATTGGCCCCGCGCGACACCGCTCTCTTACCTCTTACCTCTGGCTATCCTCCTGCCAATAGATTGGCAACGCATTACGTCATCTCTCGCATCGATAACGCGAGGTAAAGGTAAAGGCAGTCGCCTCAGTCACCGCTGTTCGTCTATATCAACGTCTCCGCCCTGAATCTCTGTCTTTCCTGCACCACACTCGGAATCTACTCAAAAGCAAGTACTATTGCCCAACCTTTCGGAACATAACTCATGGAGTAACCCTCCTCACGATATCCCTATCAGTCGGCAAGTCAGCCATCATCGAGCGGAAGGTATTCTCGAACGAGAGAATTAGCAACTACGACGCAGTTGTGCGCTCGACGAGGTTGCGCATCAAAGCGGTGAGTCTTTCGTTCTCGATACACCCCGAAAACGAGTTGTACTGACTGGCGGTAAAGGTCATCACTAAGACGGCGCCGCTCCTAACACTTGACCTCTACTCCTAACGATAACTCACCTTATCTCGACACTACGTCCCACTCCAACGGAAGCACATCCATTACCCCGGTAATATGGCTTCACAACTGCAGCATCCAGAAAGCGCGGCGACTGGGAATAAACCTTGCGAAGAAAGTCCCTATGGCATCTTCGTGGATGAAGACCTCATCGATGATTCGACCGGCGTCGTACCAACAAAGGGTTTGGGTATACCTCTTAGCCTCAAGGACCGCTTTTTGAGGCGCCTATCGAAGATGCTAGGCACCGCAGCGAACATACGAGAGGCACCCAACGTCAGCGTCATGGATATCTTCTTGACGAGAGACAAACAGTCGCCCCGGCCAAACATTGCGCTCGATGAAGGACTGCGGAAGTTTGTGCGCGAGCTCGAAGATGGGCTGGCCGCTGTTGCGATGCATCCTTCCGGTATGCTGCATCTGACTACAAGCGTTCGTCGCTAACATTCCTAGGACCGCCACTCGATCGCGCATGTTCAGAACTATGGGATGTCATTCTGATACACAACTATAACAGAGTCGAACAAGTCATACAAAGTATACAGGAGAGTTTCGACGAGAACTGGACTACATTCGATGAGCTCGTTACGAGGATGTTCGGCATTGATGACGCCGACAATAGAGGCTCAAGACTGGATCGAGAGCTTGGTGACAAGGTCATTAGGCTATCTCACGATGTCCATGCTTTCGATGGCTCAATGAGAGATTTGAATAAACTCGTCCAATTCGCTTCAACTATGACTAGGGTAAATCACAATCTACGGGACCGGCTGCGATACCTTCTAGAGAAGACCTACTTCGCCAACAAGTTGTTCGACCTCATCTGCGCCCTCGGCTTTCCCGAACGTGTCTACAGCACCTTGGTCAGGGCTGCTAGGTCTTCGCAAACGTTCAGGAACGTCAACTTCCACTTGAGGCCTCAATCGCCGGTAAAGAACGTATCTTTCGCGACCCCGATGGCGAGTGCGACGCCACCAAACGCCGTTAAGTCGTCCTCACCACCTCAGAAGAAGAAGTCGAAGCGCATGCAGCAGTACGAAGCGACGGCGATCGAAACAGCAATTGCGGTTCCTACTCTTCCCTCTCCTCCTCTTCCATCTCCTCCTTCTGAGCCAGCTGTTACCAGCCTCGGTCCGCTGATGACCGCGGTGCAGCCTTACCTGAACCAACAAGATCGGAATCTGCCTCTTCCTTCCCTGCAACCCGCAACCAAGCAGGAAACGGCGCAACTAATTGGCACCATACTCCGAGAGAGGCTACTATCTACCCAAACCGCCGCATGGTATTCGTTCGGTTTCGTCACCGCCAAGGATGAAGAGCAAGAAAGACAGCTAGCCGGGCTTTACGTCGCACTACTCAAGGAAGCCAAAGATCCCGAAGCAGCATTTCGCGAACTGCAGACCGCCCTGGAAACGAATTCGCTAGTCTACCTCTTCGACAAGTACGAATACAGCCATTTCCGCGGCCTATTCCCCTATCTCAAGGCGTTCCTCTCAATCCCACCAAACAAGCGCTCCACCGTCTGGCGTCTACGGCAATTCATTCAAGACCCCACCGATGACGAACCGCCTGCATGTCTCCAGCGCGATTACGGCTTCAAGTATTGTCGTCAGCGCGAAGAAGTCCTCCGCGTCAAGGAAATCTACGTTAACATACTGAAGAAGCTGGGCCCGCAGAAGTTGGATATTGCATGTGTGAACGGCCGGCTATCTGAGACGGCGATGAAAGAGGGAGTTCATATTAATGCCAAGGACAGGCGGTTTCTGAAAAATGACTATGGGTCCCCGTTCCTGGGACTGGACTGCGAGGGCGGGCTTGAGAACTACCGCGGCCCGTTCTACAGGAAGCCGTTGAAGCTTTAGCTGTGGGGTGTCGGAATGAGCATGGCGTATATGCCGCGCACGGCGGCGAGCCTTGAAAACCCGCTTGACGAGCTATTGGAGAAGGGCGTGAAGCGAGGACTAGGCTTCTGGCATACCTGCGATTAAGGCTGTATGACGCGCTCATACCACGCGGACGACAGATCATGGTATGAGTTTAGCTTCCGGATTTTGCGGGGTTGTCTGCGATCATTTTATGGAAGTGGTGGCCACAAAAGGGCGTTGCGATATACCCATGGTTTTTGGTGCCAGGCGAGGCGGCAGCGTGGACATGACTTGGGCGATTGACTTTCTGATATGCTGCTTTTCTCATTGGCCTTTCAAAAAGTTGGGTTTTGCGTGCGGAAACTGGTATTCAGGACTTCTTTTAGCATCAAAATATGCAGCGGCTGAGGCATGCAATCTACTCATTTTAAAACACACCTCCTCTTGATCAACCATGGTCATCTTCAATGCGCGTTGATGGACTGCTCATGCTTTTCTGCGTCCTTGATGTTTGGAATCTGGACTGATTCACTCATTCCCGCCATCGCCGTCAAGAGATTGATGCACGTAACGTGGCAGCCCGTGGACGCGTATATAAACCCCCCTCGACATCGTACCTTCTTCTCCATTACACACATTCCCACTGGGCACTCTAAAAGACGCCGATGAAGGATACATTGCGCTTCGTCCAAAAGACGACATGGTTATGACATATCCGTCCATCGGTCACCTTCCTCTTTCCAGAATGCCTGGAAGCTTGCCCGCATGTGCAGAATAAAGATCTTCTCCTCCCAGCCTTTCCGACGCCGGTAACTAAAAAGCAACACTAGATGGCTGTGTCTTGTCGAAAACACACAAAGGAGTCATGACAATATTATGGATGTTGCGAAACCCAAAACGGAGAGCTGAGCTGCCCATGTGCTCGCCTGCTTTCCACAGACACGTCATCTACGTCGACTTTGCGATCGGTCTTGTCATCCTGCATCCTTCTTTCCCTGGATTGCAGGAAAACCAAAATACTGAAGCGTATAAGCCATGGTTCGCTGGACTGGTCGATCAAAAGACAGACTTGGAAACCGGCATGTTGCGCGCTGTCTTATCCTTCTTCTCTCTTCAAAACTAATCGAGTCACTCGATATGTGAGTGGCTGAAAACCGTCCGCGGCCCTAATATGTTGTGCGGACTTGCCCGCGCGTTGACGCAAAACGCATCGCAAAACGCCTCTACAGGATGATGATGTGCCCTGTTCCGACTGCGCTGGCTCCAGTGTCGAGGCTGGCGTCGATGGCGGGTATAAAGCTTCGATCGAGATTGTGAGAAGTTTGTTATCGCACTCTCTTTTCTTCCTTTTCTTTTTTGAAATCGTACGACACAGTCTTTATGTGTCGACCATGAAAGTGGAACGGTAGACCGCATGGTGTGCGCTCGCTCTGCCTTCTAGGTCTTACATCTAAATCGCAACAATTGTCAGCCATGGCGTTCTAGAAAACTCTGGTCGGAATTGACATGTGTGCGTCCGTGGAGATGGGGCTGTACTTCCGATGTCAAAACAAGCAAGATGAAGTGGTCGATGTCCGGTGCGTCCCGCCTGCGCTTCATCAAAACTCGACAACGAAGAAATTCACGACGAGAGCGTCGGATGCGGTGCTCGAGTATAAAACCCGTCATATTTCACGCGTCGTCCAACTTCTACATCATCTCGCAGCTGCGAGTGACCGAAACCACTGGCTCACAAAGTGATGTCCTCGTTCCGAATTCGAATGAGAAACTACTCATGTTCCTGTGCGCTCGCGTCTTCTCTTCCTCATCATTAAACATGCACGACTTTATTACCATGACGCTATCATCGTGTCTCGAAAATGGGAGCTAAACGTGTCATGTCTAAAAACCGTCAAAATCCGAATATATGGGTTGGCGCTGGGTGTGGTGGTGGTGTCCGCGTTGGGTACGCGTGCTGATGATGATAATGATTGACATCATGACCGTGGAATGAGGTTGAACCAAGGATCAGGTCCAGTCTGAGTCAAAGGCGCGCTCTGTTCTTCGTTGTGGAATGAGGTTGGGGAATGAGGAACGTGCCTGTGGAATGAAGTTGTGGAGCGAGGTTGATGACGTAGGCTCCTAGCGTGGCATCGACGCGTCACGTCTCCGACCACCATCGTGGTGCTCCTTCCTTCATCATCGCGTGTGCTGTTCGCCGTTGCGTGGGTCGTAATGTTCGGTGCGATCGTTTCCAATATACTATTCCAGTATTGCGTATCGCTGGTCTTTGCGCAGGCCGCCTTTCCTTCTACTATTCATCCACCTTCCACGCGCTCGGCGCCAGCATCGCCACATCAGTTCCAGCTCATGAACACCCTTGTATCTTTTTTTTTGTATTTTCGTATTTCCGTCTATCTATATCCACGTCCGCATTCTCCAATCCCACCATTAACCCTCCGATACTGTAAACACGCCCGCTGTAGAAAGACCCGCACTCACGACCATCGCAAACCACCGACCCGATACCGAAACGCCCACGCTATAAACACGTACTGATAAACAAGGCCTTTCCAGAAAGCCTATCCGATATACCGACCGCGATGAGCAAAGAAAAGAGAACGGACGACCGTGTCCGTCCGTAAACCGTTGTTCCGTAAACAAAGAAGCAGTCGAATCTCGAAACATTGTGCTAGAGACAACGCCCACGCAAGGAAAGAACAACACCGCCGGCAATCCCTTTATACCATCTCCGATTCCACGTACTGTGTACCATGCATCTTAACCTTAGGTACCGCGTCCCCTCCCGCGCCCCCTCCCTCTAGAATTTCCGCCTCTACCTCTACTTACAGGATTAGGATGGGCGGATCCTTGGCCGTAGCCTCGTCCACCACCCGCTGCAGGTGCTATAGTATGTTGTGGTGTACCGGTGGGTGCTGGGGGAATACCTTGGTGTCTACCACCCGCTTTAGGTGTTATAGTATGTTGTGGTGTGCCGGTGGGTGCTTGTAGAACACCTCGGTATCCGCTGGTGGGTGCTGGTGCATTGACTCGTGGTGTACGTGAACTATCATGATGAGGGGCTGTAGAATGTGGCGGATATGGCTGTGGCAGGGGAGATCCAGTTTGTAGAGCACTGTTGGATACTCTTGAGTTAAGTGCGCTCCACGAGCTGGAAGAGGCACCACTCTGGCCGCTTGCGGGTGTTTTTCCCCACGCTTTTGCGGTTCCGGGCCAATTCGATGATGGGTTCACCGAATTTTCATTGCGACGATAATGCTGAGGAGCATTTTCAGGATCAGTGAGAATTTTCGTCAGTTCGGCGTCAAGGTCATAAGGGCTTTCCTGGCGACTGGCCCTACCAGAAGTACCTTGAGGTGGCGGTTGTGTAGAATACCCTACAGTTGACTCCCAAGCTGTTGTGTTGACGATGCTTGTCTTGTTTGTAGAGTACCTGATTGTATAGCCCCGACACCGCCCGTAGTACCTTGCATGACGTTGCGCACGTACGCATCTTGATTCATCTCGCTTAGTAGTTCTCCATTTGTGAAAAGGCGGTTAGATGTTGGGGTTGGATAAATATAGGCACCACGCTCCATCCCTCTAGCGCCAAGAGTGCCAGGAGTTCCTGGAATGTAGAGATTTCGAGGGGGTGGCCCTTGCCAAACCGCGTCGCAAACGTTCGTGAGCATGTGGTGAAGTTCGGCTTCCGAATTTCCTTTCGCTCGGGTACCATTTGCACGGGCTGTATCGAACTTGTGTCTCCAAAGGGCGACCCAAAAGGTTGCGAAATGTCGGATAAAGTCCAATTTCACCTGTCCCACTATCCAATGATTTGCAGCAACGATTTCCCCAGCCCGTTCTTCACCTTTTTCAGTTGCATTCTTTACATGGCTTGGATAGGGTTCGTTGGCGGCGTTGGTCGACATAGTGATTGACTAGGTATACGTTGGGATATCTTTGTGTTCGAGTGTTCGAGTGTGCGAGTGTTCGATTAGTTCGAGGGTATATGAGTAAGCTACTGACCGGCAGTAGATTGCTGAGATGTTGGCAGTGTAGTGTAATGGAAATGTAAGTATAATAGTTGTCGTTGTTCTGGGGAGAGAAACGTGGAGCACAGCGGAATATATATACATGCTGCTACTCTCAGCGAACAAACAGGTTGATCGTATCTGACAGTTCGCCTGTAACATACTGAACACTTGATAATGTAGAGATTCACACATAGCTAGCAGATCAAGCATGTAGTTTGAAGAGCCTAGACTGTGTTGGCACTCGACTTCACCTTCTCTACGTGGCATAATGTTTTGCGTGTGGCAATGTACTGCTCGTAGTGTATGTTTGATTGCAACATGATCGTTTGGGAGCTTAAGTGATGTTATTGCTCTTCAGCTAATGCTCCACGCAGTGATTGGAAGGAAGTGCTGTTCTTGAAGGGTTCCGAGGTATCACAGACAATGGCGATCTGGAGATGGAGACGAAGAGTGCACGCAGCGTGTTTGGTGCTTCACATGAAAGCAGAGTTACTCCTTGTTTTCGCGACGTACAGCTTCTGAAGTATGGGTAATGTTGATGCTTGCACATTGAGTGTCATTGGGGGTTTGACTTACCTCCAGGTTAATTCAATGACCAGCGTAAAGTCAAGTCAAACAATGTTTGACTGTGCGCGATCCGATCACAGCTTCTTTAGATACGATCTTCTTCCTTGCACCATGTATCTTCAACCTCCCATCTTGACAGAAAGCCTCTCTTCAGCAGGCAATCACCGAAGCTTTGTCCACATGTCTTTGAATACCTGCCCTACAGATTTTCGTTTGCGTGGATCGTCAAGACCATTTCCCCCGTTACTAGCTTCTGGAAGGTCAACAATGGGAGCCTTGGCGGTGGCCATACCCGTTGTGTGAACAGGCTCACGGGCGTCGCAGTTGCGCGGCGGAAGGTCGAGATTGACATAATCGCCAGTTTGTTTGTTAACCAATACACCATCTGAGGTTGCGCGCAGAGGTCCTTGCGATACGTCTAGTCGTGGTGAATATTGGTGGACCGACTCCGGCATCTTCGGGCGCGATGCTGGGGTGTCTGAGGGCGACATTTGTGATTGTATTTCCAAGAACTTGGGTGGCTGGTACGTCTGGCTATCGAAAATGTTATTTTGATGAATCGAAGAGGTGGGCCACAAAGCGATGGCTGCGCTGCCTCTCCAGAGTGAAAGAAAGCAACCAAGGTTCCGTGACGACGCATTTGCGCGCTACTCCGATGGATTCCTCTGGAGATATGACTGGTGCCGCGTTTCCTTCTACACATTGATGCTTGAGTGGTAGTTCTTTAGTGAGCTGGCTGCCCAGAGGTGGTGTAGCGACGTGGTGCTGGAGTCAAGTGGTGACGCCAGGTTTGGCACCTAGCTAGTGGGCGCGAGGCTGGCAGCTACGAACTCAGTACCGGAACGACTTCAGGTGATGGTGAGACCAAGACCTTTGGTGCATGGTCAATGGTAGAGGATCAAAAACGTCCCTCCGCTTAGTGCGTATGGATTACGTCATCAACCAACTCTTCCGTGCGCACTTCAAAACTGTCACGAAACGCCTGCTGATCTTCACCCAAAGCTCGACATTTCTATTCGCGCCTACAACCGACCCCTACCACAAACGTACAAACGCAATATGCCACCGTCGAAATCACAACATTCGCCCAGTCTTCCGCCACTCCGCCATGCCGAGGTCACTTCCACCGCCGCGTAACCGGCCAACACTGCAAACTCACAATGCCAAAGTCACCGTTCAACCCAGGGCACCCAATAGTACTACTAGAGTCAGCATATTTTCTGATCACCACGTCACCTCGACCTACTTACTTGTACGTTTGTCCATTAGTTATGATATGAGCTTGTGCCCCATTCTTACAATCCGGTTCCTGGTATAGAAGGCAGTAGCCACCCGGGTCAGGTCCGATGGACTGAGGACGGCTTAGAGCAAGACCGATCTCCTTTTGGTAAGAAATGCAGACCGTTTCGTCAGCAGCAGCAGGAGGTGGCCACCACTTGCATGTTTGAGTTGCAGAAGGCGTGAAGTTTGGACCGGGGCAGATGTAGACGCCGCCGGGCCGGCCTACTTTGCCATCGCAGAAAGGGGAGTTTGGATCGGTGAAGGTGTGTAGGTCGGCGTTACTGCCGCTGAATCCTCCGCCAGTGGCTGGAATTACTTGGACTACGATGGTATCTCTTGTGGGCGTGTTGACGGGGGATGTAGCGGTGATGGCGAAGAAGATGCTGGTCAGGTATGTAGGGCAGATGTTCAGCATATCGACCAGTTGAGTTTGGGTTTAGACAGCAAGAAGGATGCCTATTCTTGAGGTAGCAGCGGCTCTTGTTAATTGCTGGCAGAATGGTGTAGAAGAGGTGAGAAGATACTGACGCGTGAGTAGTACCCTAATATATGTATCCTCCCTGGGCCGCGAAAATGTGATGATGGCACGTTACATTGGCGTCCTTCTTTTCAATAACGACCACGACATGAACAGCACGATGCGTCCCTTCCAATCCACTCCATCACACCCGAGCTTCACAACGCCCTATCAAAGCGCCGAGCAAAGTCGAGATTCCTGCCATTGAATGTGGTACTGAACAGCACTGTATGATGTAAAAAACAGACATAAATAGGCCTGACAGCATACTTCTCCCTTCCTTCATCGTTACACGTAACATCAATCGCACAAGAACTCACGCATCAACACAGCACGGCATCCATAGAATTAGCAACAAACAACACGAAGTCGCACTTCTCTCACACCACAATGCACCCACTCACCCTCTTCCCCCTCATCGTCACCGTAGCAACGGCTCTCCCCTTCGCCGTCAGCCCCCACCCGGACGCATCCAGCCAAGACCAACCAGACTGTAAACCCGGAGCCGAAGGCACCACAGCCGGCGTAACCTACTGCCTGAGCACAAACTTCAACGGGCCTTGCGAATGGCACGCCTACTACCCCGACCGAGACTTGTGTATGGCTTTCGACGTAAACCCAGAAAGGCGCCCCCTTTCTATCCGCCCTCAGCACGGTGGGTACTGCGAGTTGTTCAAGGACAACAAATGTGGGGGTGATCCGGTCAGCATCTGGAAGGACGATACGACGACGAAGTTGGAGTGCCCGGGTATGAGTGATGCTGGGAAGCCGGATTGGTTTGGTAGTATGAGATGTAGGACGGAGAACGAGGGGACGCAGAACTCGGATGGATCTAGTGGAGGGGAATACCAGGGTAGTGGGGGTTATACCTATCCGGGGAGGGATCCACTCAGGTCGGTTTAGGTGGATATTCGGAGTTGTTCGTGGAAGGAGGAGGAAGATGGGAAGTTTGGAGCGCGGTGTATGTATGCCAGGTTGGACTTAGTTGACGTTTAGCTTGTCTACTTGTATCACAATCACATGGAACGAGTCACTTAATTGGCATCTCTCTTAATTTATATATTGTATCAAAGTTACAAACTCAGTCCCGAAGATGTAGCACTAAACATATCAAAGATGTAAAGACAGCAGATAGCCAAGCCAGTATCCACTAGCTTCAACTCAATGCCAAACCAATAACAACAGATATATCTTGCATCCGCCCAATCCCCAGATCTCTGCTCCTACCGTCAAAGAGAGCAAAAACGAGAACCCAACCCGCCGCGAGAAAAGAAAACCCACACCACCGTCTAGTTCTTCGTACACTTCATGCTCTTAAACCAAGTCGGGTTCCCCATTTTTGACAAGCCAGGACACTGAAGCGGCGTCTCCCCACCCTTCTCCCAAATCTCCAACACATCCCCATCCTTACAATCCAGCTCCTTGTACAACTTGCAACTGCCGCCTAACACAGAAATTCCAAAAATCAGCGAATGCCTCCATTATACACATGTGCGTACAGAGTAGGTGAAGAAGAACTTACCCATATCCGGACCGATGGAGCGAGGTCTTGAGTCATACGTGGGGAAATTCACGCACCACGGTTGCGGCTCGAAGATGCGCGTTTGGCAGCTTTGTGTAAAGCCGGGATACAGGCACCATTTCACGCTGGGGTTTTGGGGTGGCGCGGAGCAGTACTCGGGGGATTGGGAGGGCGCGAGGTATGGGCTTATTCCATGGTGGTTTTGGAGTATGAGGGGCATGGCGGAAGTGAGGGCGAGGACGCTGAGGAGAGTAGAAAGTGTGAAGAAGTGCATTGTTAGGTGGTGATAATATGGGATGCTTGTCTTGGTTGTTGGTGTGTGATATTTATTTGCTTTGTGCTCTGACGTGGTAGTCGTTGTGTTGATATTGATAGTATAGAGGGGCCAAAGGGGGTATTTATGTGCGCTCGACAACCATACCTCGTTTGCACGACGCGGAGATGTCAAAGTCAAGATTGATTTGTCACGTTGGGAAATCTTGACATAGCCTCGACTATGGAATAGACACTCTGTGATGGAATACATCAGGTACTGGTATCAAGTCTTGCAGAATGTGCATGCCTATCACAAGTGATCAGAAATTGAAGAACCTCCATCAACTCCCCGACTGTGTAACGCGCCGTGACTGACTTCGGTGTGTGATTATATACTTCGGGTGATATCTGCTCTATTGATGGTAAATCAAAGCTATCGCAATCATACTGTATACCAAAATACCATCTCAATAACATGCCCGAAGGACCAGACTGCAGGACCAGACCGCAGTCTGAGTCAAAGGCGCACTCTATCTATCCTATTGATGGCATTGCGTTAAAGCAGAGCGACGACAAGCCACTTATAATTCCCGCAATACATTTCTTAAGATAGATGCCTAAGTACTAATCAGAGAAATCAGAATCCTTCAACTCTAGAACGCACCGCCCCTTCACAACCTACATCCCTTCCCCTATCAATTCTTCCTACACAGCGCAACTCACCCACCATCCCCCTATCCTCCCATCCTCCCATCCTCCCATCCTCCCATCCTCTCTCTTCCTCTTTCTTCCTCTCTTCCTCCCCTCCCCGCCCTTTCAACACTCCAACCATCAACCACCCAACCACCCAACCACGCCACCTTCTCCCCATGCCCCTCCCTCCGCCTTCTACTTTCCACCTACCTTTGCTATCGCAATCAGTGAAGCAGAACAGCGCAGCACATCACCCGTACCCTAAGCTCGAACGTCTTTGAACATAGTAAACATAAATGGTATTATCGTAAGCCAAAGCCGAATCTTTGACTTCTCTCGCGTTCTCCCCCCTTCTCTCGCCCTCTTTTTCCCCTATCCTTCTTCCTATTTCTATAACACAGGAAACAAGAGTTGAGACATAGGAGACAAGATATACACAGCCAAAATCAACAACTTCGAAAAGATATGTTGATCCTCAAAGATAAGGAGAAAAGAATACACACCACACCACAATACCACACCCCAACCTCACGTCACGTCTCAGAACTAATAAGGCGCCCGTCCCACCCCACCCCCCGTCCCCACACTCTCCACCACACTGCCCCCCACACTCCCATCCTCCTCCTCCTCCCCATCCTCAACCTCAATACTATCCAAAAACCCGGTAAAATCCGGTTTACTTCCACTACCCCCCGTACCCTTCGCCTCACTCCCCCTTCTGCGCTCGCCACTCCTGCCCCTACTAACTCCACTCTTCACACTCCTACTACGCCCGGCTTTACTTCCATTGGGCGCTGTCTTGGGTCTGGCCGCGAAATCGCGGGTATCGCTTTGACTATTTTGACTGTGGCCGTGGCCGTTTGGTGAAGAGCGTAGTTCTTCTGGGATGGGAGGGACCGGGGGGAGGTTGGTCATTGTGTAGGTACTTTCTTTTGGGTTCGCTGCACCACCTCCATTATTATCATTCTTGTTCGTGTTAAAGTTCATTCCCGTAGTCATTTCCGGGCGAGGCGTAAGCGTCGCAGCAGGTGTAGTCGGACTCTCAGGATTTTGGAGTTGTTGTTGTGAATCCGTGCCTGGGGGGTGTGTTGTTATGAAAGAAGCATCTGAAAGGGAGTGTACGCTGACGAGCGAGTCGGAGGCGGAAGATGCGTGGTCGGAAGAGGATTTGCGGTGTCGGTGTGAGGGGGCGCGGTGGGAATAACCTGTTCGAGGGGCGCCGCCACCGGATGTGGAGAGTGCGCGGCGGAGATCGTCGACGCGGACTGTGGAGCGCAGGGAGGAGGAGCTGTTGGGTGTGTCGCCTGGACTGCGGCTTCGGTTTGGCGAGGAGAGACGGCCTACCAGACCGTATGCCGCAGATGGGGGTCTGCTGTGTGCGCGTCTGGGGCTTTGGGCTGGCGAGCTACCATTACTGTCGAGGTTGCCATTGGGGATGTTGACACCGAGGAAGTTGTTCTTCTGCGTGGCGGCAGTGTAATGTGTGCCTGTCTTTGAACCAGAGATTGAAGCAGATGACGAATCCTTCGTGTGAGAAGACAAGCAGTCTTCGCGACTCCAGTTCGCCAAAAGATCTTCTCGAACCTTGAACGAAAGTTCCGGTGCGCTTTGCTGGCTCACGGGTTGTGTCGGTTGATGAATGGTAGGAATAGACGCAGAGGCCCCACGGCCAGGTGATCCCGGCGGCGATGAAGGCGGCGAGTATAGGGAAGTCGAATAACCTTCCGATATCTTCTCGACCAATGCCTCGCGGTTGTCAAAAGGCTTAAGCGCTTCGTTCTCAACAATCTCTGACGGGATAGCGACAGGTGTCGGGTGCGGCGTTTCTATCAGCTCAATCGGCATTGGCGGGACGCGTATGCTCTTCATCCAAAGACCCTTGCTGCTTCTGCGAGTGATCTCGTTGTGGAGGGCGCGACCGACAGAAGAAACCTCAAAGTCCAAGGTCATGCTAAGTGCCCAGAGGTATCCGTGTACTAAGCTCCCCAGGCGCAGCTTAGCACCGGGATCTTCGATGGTAACGATGTCCTCTTGCAGCCGCATGATCATTGGCAGTCCGCTCCTCGCTGCGTTCACTCCGAGCCTGTTCACCAGAGTAGTGAGCAGTAGATGGAGGAGCAGGTAGTCCGCCTCAGAGTCGACATAGTGGAGCGCATTCTCGTATACCGCCAGATGGAGCAATGGCAAAAACGTGTCCCTACCACGTTTCGACACCCTTTCCCTGTTCGAAGCATTCGAGACCGCACGTCTAGCCAGCGCATTCTTTTCATTCTCCTTCTCCTTCCGCCTGTAGTTGTCCACAATCTTCAAATCTTCCTTGTCCTTCTCCGTGTTCAGCCAAGTGATCAGCGCATCAACGTATGCTTTCCTGACTTGACCACTCGGATCGCGAAGAAGCCACTGTGTGCCTTCCCAAACGCTCACGCCCACTTTGCTCCGCGACACAGAAGCCGATGACCCATCGGGTCGCCGTGTGTTGGCTGTCTTGATGATGGCTTTGACAGCATCGAGAGCAGTGATGCGTGCTGTTTCGAAAGAAAAGAATCGATCCACGTGCGTCTTCTCCTGCATACTGATGGAATCAGCTACAGCATCTATCGCACCTTCAGGGTTCTGTATCGCTTCTGTGGTGGAGGAAACGCTCGAAAGCCGCGATGGCTTGAGTCGGCTGAGTATCGCTTCCACCATATCGGAGATCTGATCAGTGTAGTATACATGTGTCGCGAGATCTGCCATGCATCTCTGCACTGTGTCCAGAAGCTGCATCCTCGCATCAGAAGGCTTCTTGACGACTTCCATAACGACGCTATCCAGATTGGCTGTCGACAATTCATTGCTACCCTCCTTCTCCGATACGACAGACATTGTCTGCTGATGATGCGGTACGATGTTCGATCCCGGTCCGCCAAGCTGGAGGAGTAGCAATGAGTGAGAAATAAGCCCGACCAGGACATCCATGACACTAAGTCCGATGAAGTTGATCGTCGAGGCCAGAAGGTAGTCGATGATCGTCGCCAGGGTCAGCTGCCGTTCGAGGTCGTCTTCTACGATTGGACTGCGGACCAGGGCTTCCACTGCGCCTACTAGGATCGTGTATCTATCTTGCACGGGGACCCATGCGCAGATCATAGCCATGAGTGTAGTCGCCCAATGGCTGCTTTCGTTCGGTGCAGCTTCTTGCAGGCTCTTGACATGCGATCCGATGAACTTGAGCACAGCGGACGTCGCGAGCCGGAGTTGCCCTCGGTTCACACCCTGGAATATGCTCCTCAGGGCCTGGAGCGCGAGTACTCCCACCTCCTCTTCCGCAAGCTTATCCGCATCCTCCGTTGTACCAGATGCCGCAATCGGGTCGCCGTCGTCGTCGTCGGTCCGCGCGGTGGACACACTCTGCCGCCGTCGCAATGCCAGCTCCTTCTCATGTTCGCCCTTGGTAGCTTCCCGCGTCTCTAACCGCTTAAGGTATGTGCCGCTCTCCGAGTGTATGTTAAGGAGGATGACCGGTATGACAGCGCCCAGTTGACGCCCGGTCTCAGACCCCAGTGACTCAGACGAGGCAATGGCCTTCAGCGCCTGCAGCCCGGCCTTCCGGTATCTGATCGCGACTGGCCAGCTGACCGGTGCCTTGCCCGTCTTGACCGTCTCCTTGGACGCGAATTGGGCGTACAGTTGTACGATCTCCTCGTACTTCTTGATGTAGTCCTGGTCGGCTGCGAGGGCGGCGGGGTCCTGATGCGCGCATAGGGCTTCGAAGGTCGGCACTGACTCCTCGACCATAGTAACGTCGTTGGAATTGAGGATAGTGCGCAGGATATGTAGGACGGCGGTGGCATAGAGAGGAAGGTCGCGCGGGCACTTCTCGATCAGCGCCTTGATGATCTGCATCGTGACCTGCACATTGCCCGTCCGGACCTTCCACACATCCTTGGTCGCCCTCTTGTCCAGAAAGTCGACGACCTTTTGCAGCTTACTGCGGCGCGTGCTGGCGTAGAAGAGCAGGTAGCTCAGCTCGCTCGAATTGGCCTTGGCCTCGGCATCGCTCTTCTGCACCTTGGGGTAGCATTTTAGGACCAGGACCTGGTGCTTGGGGCGACACGCCTGCCGCGCTGCGTTCATCGAGGCTCAGGGTGGTGACGTTGCGGGTTCGATCGAGGTAAGCGGCAGCGATTGACTGGGATACGGGATGCGAACGCGAAATCGTTGTCGGCGGCAGCGGCGGCGGCGATGACGAACGGCGGGGGAGGTTTGGGCGAGGGATGGATTAGGATAGTTGGAAGTGGAATCAATGGGCGGCGGGAGGACTCAGGGTCGCGGCATTATTCGTGCAGCAACAGTTGTTCACTAGCACGCATGCATGTGCGACGGACGGTCGCGGAATAAGGAGTGGCTTGGGTGGATAAACATGATCGGCCGTATCCATGTCCGGCCCAGAGACGTGGTCACTGCCCAACGTTGCCTGCCAAGCCGTCACCAACACAACACCGACACCAAAACTTTGTCATACGGGTGTTAGGTGAAACGTCCAACATCTTCTCTGACGCTGCGCTGCATAACAAAAAAGTTCCAAATCCTTTTCCTCTCCAGTAACTTGATGGTATATGTTACAAAGAAGCGAATACTGTCCACAAGATTACAGCTCTTCACGTGGTACTATTGTACACTTTGGCGGGTGTCGCGCTTTTCTACTTTCAAAGCACGTGCTATCAAACATTGAAACACCACTGTTCCTTCTGCACCCCACAGCCTCCCACACGCCCTCTTCCGCATCCCCAAATCTCCCGCCCCTTAGAACTTAGGGCTATTCTTATTCCCAATCTGTCCCCTTTGCTGCCACCTCTGAGTCCCACCTCTCGGATCCCTCAGATCATCCAACCTCCTAATCGGCAGCACCGCATCCGGATCCGGCACAAGGAACCCATCCGTCTCCTCATCCCTCTTGAGATACTTCTTCTCTTCCCCACTTAACACCCTCTTGCCCCCCTTCCCATGCTTAGCCCTAGCCTGCTTCCGCGGCAACCCCGTATTAATACTATAGTCTTCTAATCCAGAATTCCGTAGCTGCTGACGCATAACCTTGGGTAACATGGCTTGGTTACCGGATTTAATGGATGAGGTAACTGAGGACTTGATGTGGAAGAGTCGTTTGTCGAGGTTTATCGCTGGTTCCACTTTGTTGCCTGCGACGGCGACCCATTGGACGAGGCGACCGTCGGAAACGGGGTTGATGAGGTACCGCGTATCCTCTGGCATGCTCTTCATGATGATTTCGGGGCGGAGGTGCGGGAAGTGCGTGTGCATCCATAGCCAGCGCTCTGGTCCTGCGGGCTTGATGCGCTCTTCTTTCAAGAGCATCTTTCCCTGCAGGCGCAGCCGGAATTCGACTGCGTGCCCGGCTTCAATGAACTGGTAGGCGCGGTCCAAGCACATTCTGAAGTATTCGACGGGGCTGGACTCGTTGAGGATGATGTTTTTCAGGCCGCCTATTTGTTTGCCTTTTTGCCCCGCCGTCTTTGGGGCTCGGTATGTGTAGGCGTTGTGGATGGCGAAGTCTCGCAACTCTTCGGGTATCGGCAGCTCTGGGTCGTCGATGTGTCTGCTTGCCATTCCTTTCGTGATCTCGCCGAGGCAGTAGAGCATTTTCCCGGGTCCGACATGTTGTGTGAGGAGTTCTTCGAAGGAAGCGCTCTCCGCTATTACGGACAGCTTCTTAGCCTTCTTGTCTGTCTGCCATAGTTTGACTCGGTGTTTTACACTTTGCAGTGGCGCTAAAATTTCAATCTCCCACGAGCTAAAGTTGAGAACTTTGTGCTGTCCGAGGACTGTCTTGGCCTTGGCCGTTTTGTATAGGTTGAGCGCGCGGCGCTGCTCGAGGCGCTGGGTGGGACAGGCGGGGCGCGGTACGTGAGGGGCGCATTGCGGGCGGTACAGTGTATGGAGGGCGCGTATCGGGATTCGTACGGGCGGTAGAAGGAGCGATCGGAATTCGACAGTGGGTATGCGCATTCTGGGTGCCATGGTGGCGCGATGAGAGTTTGTATAGACCCTGTGCGAGATGAAAGACGCGACACCTGACTCGGACCGCGCTGTGATCTTTTGGTTCATGACGTCGCAACAGCAATCACTTGGCATGCCGAAACTAACACGTGCATTTTGGGGTACTAAAGTCCCGTCTGCCTTGTCATGAGCAACACCATTATGGAGAGCCGATTGCATGTTTCGCAACTGTATCTACGAAATCCTTGAATCCACCTTGTGTCCCAAAGCATCCATCCTGTTCACTCAATGAACACCGTCTCTACCCTATGCGATGATACCGCCTACGTCCACATCGGCACCGAAAAATTCGTAGCCACCTCATCACTCCCCAAATACTGCGTCTCAGACGCAGGCGGAAAGACCGCCTCCCAATTAATCCCCGTGCCAAAAACATATGGCGGATCATTCCAAACCACATCACCAAATTCCATTGTAGGCTCTGGTATATACGGCGCCGCATCTGCCTCAACAAGAGAATCATATCTGTGTTCCCGGCCAGTCACGTTCGTTGGTACAGCTAGGGATGGCCTCTGGAAGGCCGGAGTGGCTGCGGGTAGGGGCGTGGCTTGGTACGAGCTATTTATAGAGCTGGCACTTGCACGTCGGTCTGGGTTGGAGGGTGGGGAAGATGGCGGCTGCGCTTGATTCAATAGATCGTGCTCGCAACGGCGCACGATCTGCGCCACGCGTTGTAGGAGCTGTTGCTCGGCTGGCGTGGGGACTTGTCCGGATTCCATGAGTAGCTCTTCTTGTACGCGACGCAGGAGGTCTCTGCGGAAGCGTCGCGATGTTTCGCTTGGCGAGTCGCAATCGTAGACTGGTAATTGTTAGCAGGTTAAAGATCCAGCGTGGTGCGATGGCTTACAGGGACTGGGTATCTCGGCGGCAGATACATCTGGGAAGAGGACCTGATACACATCTCTCCATTTGTCTTCCTCTAGTCTCAGCGCAGTGGTGCGCTTCCTCAGCGTCCAGACAGTCTCGCGATCGATCCCTTCGATCTGTTGGGGTAACGACCTCTCGCATTGCTGCAAACGCACGTGACTCGATTGCTCCTTGTCTGACTTGAAGGTCGCGTAGCAGATTGGACAAAATATCGGTTGGGAATGTGACCGGTAGAGATGCTCTTTCATTCGATGAACCGTGGGCCAGCCAGGCCCAGGACAGGTTCTCCTGTTGCGATGCCGATCCGGGTCGTGTTTGTAAAAAGGACATGCGAACCTCGCACCGGTCTCAGACTCATCGGTGGTGGTCGTTGATCCACGACGTCGCTTGCTTGAGCCATCTTCGTCATCATCTTCTGGCGGTGGACTACCCTCCAAACGGGACTTGCGCTTTGAACCTGAGCTCACAGACGTCTTGCGGCTACTCTGACCCGAAGGCAGCGTGGATCTAGCTTGGCTGTGCGCGGCGCTGCGTCCAGTACATTGCTTGTAAGCTGCATTGCGGAGGTTGATTTCGACCTTGCGCAGGATGAGCTCAATGATTTTCTGCACGGGTGCTGGGGATGGTTGTATCGGCCGAACGTCATGCTCCATTTCGTCTTCACTGACGTCCGTGTTGGTATGCATGTCGCAAGAGCTGGTGGATGAGATGGAGACGATGGATGTTACTCTTTCTCTGGGACGCTTGGCGGATGGAAGATTGTCGTCGATCCACCTCTCTATATCTTCGTCTTCTGATGCTGGCTTGTCTTTAGGGCTGTTCTTACGTGCACAATCAATAAGACTCTTGACAAATCCTATTTTTGGAGCTTCTGGAGGCGTGGTGTCGAGGAATGTCTGGTCGGTGACGACTTCTGCAGGGTTGCTGGTGATGTTGTTCTGTCCAACCAACCATGGCCTATCGACGGTGCATCTCTTGAGAAAGGTAGCCTTGTTGTTGACAAGAATGCTCGGCACACAGGGAGGAGGTCCGAAAAATATGTCTGCTGCGCCGTTAGCGATCTGAGCTCCTGCTAGAAATTGTAGTAGGCAATACCCTGATCCAACGTTGCCGCATCCAAGGGTGAGAGAGAATCAGGATCGCTATTGTAGCCCGAATCACGGGTCCTGGAAGAAGACAGCGAATCCCTTCTACATATTCGCTTGGTTGTGCTCAGTCTTGGTAGGCCGGCTTGCGCATGGCTGCATGATGTTATGGCGAACATTGCGCAAAGTTGTTAGAGGCGTCCGAGGGGAATGCTCGTGTTCGCAGTCAATAGGGGAAAGCAGGGCGTGAGCAGAAGGAAAGGGCAACGTTGTTGAAGACATCGCAGTCTTGAAGGATGCCTGACGGCTGTCACAAGCAGTCAGACCCACTGCGCGAATGCGCAAACGTGGGAACAGGGTGTAGCTGACGAAATCCGCCCACCGGTCATCATTCGGTCTCCAGGCACGGGAGGCCCGACTGCCAATCGTCGTATGTCATGATGTGTCGGCACAACGGCGTTGCGGCAGATACGGGTTGAGAATCAGGGCGTTGTGGCTGAGCAATATTGATGAGTGAGGTGTTAGCCCTGGAGAAGGCCCAACCAGAACTTGGACATTTGATGTTAGTAGCACAGATCCCGCGGAGTATGACGAGGCCCGGGGATGATAGATGCACCAATGAAGCTTGCGCTAGCCCTGGAGGCAGGCGCTAAGAACGAATCGGAATGTGGGGTTGCGACATTCTCGACTTCAGCTGCACCTTGTTCATCTCTTGGAAAATGCCTTTTTTCTCGATTTGCGAGCTCAGGAGATTGTCGCTAATGAGTCGTCGAGAAGGGTTGGAGTCTAGGCTGGTCGAAGGACATACCTTGCCTTCAGCTTCACAGTCTAGAGCTTGCTATCTTCGACGTCGCCACCAAGTCAATTCATCGGCCTATCACAGTACTTGCGCCACATGTGTATACTGCTGCATCACGTATGTGACGAGGTACTTGTGAACGCTGAACATATTCTCGCAAACACCATTTATATCCTCCGCCGAAAGCACTCCCACGAGTCATTCATGACGAACCTTTGATATTCCATGCATCTCGGCTCATTGAACATCTCCTTCCCCAATACCGCCTCAACCTTCCGCCTCCAAAACTCACTATCCTCAATATCCTCAACAAAGCTCATAAGACGCTGCTCCAGCCCGTTCTTACGAAACGAGTACCGCGGCTTTCCCATATGCTTAGCCACGAGATAGAGAATAACAGGCAACATATCGGTCTCCTTGAACTCGCTCAAGGCTCTATTGGCTCCATGGCCCAGCTGCTTAAGGCACTCGCTGTGTACGTGCCGATTGTACTCCGCGCCGTGATCAAGCATGTACTTGACGATAGAGATGTTTTCGAACTCGATGGCGCGTATGATTGGAGAGCCTGCGTTGATGGAGACGCCGTGTTCGAGAAGGACGTCGATGATGTGACGTTGGAGGTACTGGGCGGCTGTTTGCATGCATGATATGTCCAAGGTCTGTTCGACTTTAGTCTTGTACCGTCGGGCTATGTCCGAACCTGCTACAGGACCCTCGCGCTGGAAGCAGGTGGGGTTATGGGCGATGAGGTATCGAAGGATATCCACTTGGCCGTACTCGCACGCGAAGAGCATCGCATATGCCACGAGTGTCTTTGCGGACATGGGGGCAGTACTCCCAACTACCGCCATGGTAGTCGTGAAAGTTTCCATGCAGCCGGTCGTGACAGCAGTCCTGATCCATAGTTCAGCACAGGCTAGACCCACGTAAGTCAAGCTGGAGTCACAGATTCCATTCTTCCTAGCGACTACTGCCAGCGTAAGAATTGTTTGGCGGTGTTTGGATTGAATAGCCGCGTTAAGGATGCACTGGAATCTGTGCTTGAAAGTGTCGGTCCACTTTTCTGCACCTCCGAAGTCTTTAAGCTTCTTGAGTAGATGCTGTACGACTTCGATATGCCCATTAGACGCTGCTGCTCGAAGAGGATCTGCGTAGACGTTGTCGTTAGACGCATGCTGGCGGAAGTATGGCCATGAGGGCCAGTCTGACTCGTTCTTCTCGAGCAGGTCCTTCACCGCCGCCAGGCTACCTACAGCAGCAGCGCTCGTTAGGTCGGCCCGTTCCGTGGAACTAAAAAGCGGATAGTTGCTGGGCGAGCGAAGCGCCCTATCGATAGCTGCTAGCTTGCCTCCTCGGGTCAGATACTGCAAGATGTACTCGACGTATTGAGTTTTGGTCTTCTCATCGTAGGGATGGCCTTCGATGTTGAGCACCGCTTCAGCGCGTGCCTCGATAGAGGTGACAAGCGGATCGTTGAAGGCTTTTCGAACAGTGCTTTGTAGGATTTCGGGAAGCAGGTGATGTAGAACTCTCTTATCAGCTTCGCAACCTCTAAAATCTTCCTGAAAAAGTTCGTATTCATAGTCGAAGTAGCCAAAATGCAAGTGATTGGCGATCTGATAGCGGATCTTTTGGTCAAATACCTCTACAAAATGTTAGCGCATACGGATTGATATCAAGATACCGATGTATATCTTACTACAAACTGCACGAGTAGCCGAAGCTTCGTGGGTACGAACAGTGTGTACATAATTGACAATTATGTCATGGAAGATGTCCTCCGGGAGTTGTAGCAGTGCGCTTTCAGACGACATGATCTTGCAATGGCCGGCCATCGTCGATCGAGTGACTGTGGTGTGATGGTTGAGTGTCGAAAAATAAGCTACAGTTGAGCGTTAAAGATTTCGCGGTGGTCAGGGTAGGAGGAAGGTGTAAGGAGGAAGGTGTAAGGCCGAAGAAGGCAGGCGAGCAACGGCCATACCTCTGCAGGCAGGAAGAACTGCAGTTAAATACACTGTAGCAGTCCATTGTGAAGGTAACAACAGTGACTTGAAGTGAATGGGTTCGACTTTTGGAAAAAGGCTTGGTGAACACCGGATTCTCGCCAACTATGCCTACCACAGGATTGTCCGCCGAATAAAAAGTCGAAGGTGCTGGTCGTGTTGTGTGATTATTCGAGGAACGAATATCTGGTCGCCGCACGCACTTCTTGCAGTATCGCTCAGTACCTCAGAAGCTGGAGGTTGTGCCCAGGTGTTTTCCAAGGTTCGTGAAGGATCGAGGGTTCCTTCTGCGTCAACATTTGCGTCATGATCACTTGGGCACGTGTTGGGCATTCTAGCGTACCTTCCGTGCGCAGTACCCAGCAAACCTCACATCACCATTCTCGGAAGCTGCACGCCAAACCCAGCGCACAGGAACCCATCAATCTCCCGCCGTCAGACACTCTCCCCATCAACAAAAAGCACCGGGCACATGCAGCCCTTTCGATTCCAAAGTGCCATGGTGATACGATAAACTAGATGGGTATATTCATACCCAAGAGACAGCTGTCCGTAGACAAAATACGCTGTCAACTCCAGACACCATGCCAGTAAAACAAAGGAATACCAGCTATACCCACGACCCTATGTTTGATACACCTTTGCCCTGCCTGGGGTGAAGAATACCATACCAATCCATACCATACCATCCCATCCCATACCATACTCCATCCCCAACGCCCGTCGATCCCAAACCCAAGACCCTCCTCTGGACACCGATATCCTATCCTTCCTTCCGCTTGCTCAAGCCGACGACCTATTAACCATACTAAGTACTCCATCCCCTCAAACAAACATTAACATCTTGCCGTCGGGCCCGAGAACGAGAAAAGGGTAAGAACCTACCGATTACCGCGGCGACCCGGCAGCGGAGGCGGAACCAACGGGTTGCCATAAGCATCTGTGCCCAGTGTAACGCGACAGTCTGGACAGTACCATTTGGCGCGGCGGGAAGGGATGTCGTCTTCGGTCATGTCCATGCAGGGGAGATGGAACCACTCCTTATCGCACTGTGGGGTGGGGATGTTTGTTAGTTTCGATAACAACAAACAACAAAAGGGGAGGAATTTTGTGGGATAAAGGGGGCAGCTTACGTTATTATCACACGATATCATCTGCCCATAACTAACGTCGTCGCAGATACAGTATCGAGGCTCGTTGGGGTCGATGTCGTCGGCCTGCTCCGCCTCTTCTTCTGCCTTTTTCTTCCTCTTGTTCTTGCTGCCTTGGGCGCGTTTGACGTTTGTCACTGTCTTTTGGCCGTCTTCTGCATTCGTGACTTCACCCTTTGGAGGAGGCTTCCGCCGGCTACTAGTGCGGGTAGGTGGGGGTGGGGGTGCAGGTACTGTGAGCGTGGTTGCGGGTTGGCTAAAGACACTATGACGACGGGTTTCGCGAGTTATCCTACCTTCTTCGTTCGGCTTGGGCTCTTCGCTTTGCGCCTTGGGTGTAGGGACATGGCCGCGGGCAGAGCGAGGACGTAGGGTCGGTGCTGCAGGTGTCTCTGGGCGGGGCTCAGGTACGGGTGTAGGTGTCTTTGAGGACTTCGTGGGCGGGAGAGTGGCCACGGGCGGAGTGGGAGCTTTCGGAGCAACGGATTCGCGTTTGGGCCTGGTCGAAGCTGCTGTTGGTGCTGAGACTGAGACTGAAGCTGGAGGGGTTGGGGCTTTGACAGGTACTGGTGATTGCGGAGCCTGTGCCACAGCAGGTGACTCCTCTGGCGGTACCGGCGACGTTGTAATGGGTGTGAGCTCAGGACTTGCCTCTTTCGAAACGGCCTTGTTGACTTTCGGTGTGCTTGGACCTGCTGGCGCAAGCGGCACTTGCACGGTATTCCCATTCGTCGATGGCTTTGCAGGCTCTGGGACTGGTACCGGTGTGCTTACTCTTGGAGAGGGCACAACAGAGGCCGTCCGATCGCGAGGGGTGGACACGGTCGAGTTGGGGGTCGGTATCGGAGAGGCGACGGAACTTGGTGCTGGAGCGATGAGCTGCAGACGTGCGCGCTTGGGTTCTGGCGGCCTTGACGCGCTGTCTTGAGTTGCTACCGATGCTTCTCTGGTGGTCTCGATGGCGCCGTCGGTGGCGGGTGGAGGGGATGCATCGCGCTTCCGCTTGTTCGATAGCCTGAGCGGAGTTTTCTTCTTCTGATTCGCAGTTGCAACACTAGAGCTGAAGTTGAGCTCCGTAAGCTCCTTAGCAGCTTCTTTTACCTTCTCAGAAGCGCCAATGAGCTCCTGGGCGTCGTGCATAGCCTTTTGGCGCTGTGACATGCGATCGAGCTTTCTGCCTTCTTTTGCCGCGACAGGCTTGAGGCGGATGCTGACTGGACCTGATTCTTCCCTGGAATCTTCCTCGACAGACTCGATGGGCGGGGGTGGATTTGCTGCCTGCGGGCCATGCGGTGCCAATAGCCCCAGACCGGAGGCTGTCATGATCTGTTGCAGCGTCTCGGGCTCCTCGTCCAGGAAGTGTTCACCTGTCGCCTCGCAGCGAGCCTTCTCCCTCTCGTAGTCGGCCTCTGTGCGGTGCTTCTTCTCCAGCTCGCGTATCATCATGGTCTGACTAGGAGTCCATACAGCGTTCTTCTTCATCTGCTTGCGCAGGACGGCCATTTCGTATTCGGTCAACTTCTTCCAGGGCGCCCATTTGCTACCAGGTTTCGCATCGGCTGGTGGTGGGGCCAATTGTGCGAGCGCATTGCTGGTGGATATGCCGGCGATGGAGCTGTGCACATTGGTACCGAGTACGCCAGCAGCGCGCGATCTGCCCCCAGTTGCCCTCGAATGTCTGTCCCGGTTGTCCTTGCGCTTCCTGGGTGATGCCACATCGATGCCTGAACCACCATCTGAGTCTGACGAGTATGTTGCACCGCGGCGCCCACGTCCGCGTGGCAGAGGAACGGCGGTCTTCCTGTGTCTGTCTCGGGGTCGTGAGGTGTTGGCGCCATGTCGGCCGCCATCGAAGGTGAGGCGCAGATGGGCGGGGCGTATGTAGTCGCGGTTTACGGGTCGGTGGGCGCTGGGAGAGACTGGCGGGGGCGTCGGGTCGCGTGAGGGCGGCTGTGGCTGGGCTTGGAGTTTCCGCTTGATGACTGATGAGCGCTGGCAGTGGCGGACAGTGACCTCATACAGCCGCGACGCTTCGGTATATGCAAACTCTCGCTGATTGATGGCCTTTTGAAGATGCTGGGCGATGTTCTTGCGTAGTAATACCGGATCGGGGCGCTCTTGCTCGGGGAGGGCGGGCAGCTTGCCATACTGGACCGTCAGCTCGTGGACCTGCTGGACGGCGTCCGAGTAGGTGGAATCGAGGTCGGCAATCAGCGTCAGCGAGCGCACCAAGTCCGACGGGAAGAATTCGGTGTAGTCGAGGAAGTCGTTGACCGTCGTCTGGGCGTCCGGGTTCGGGGCAGGTTGGGCCATTTCTGGCGCATCGTCGGCTTCAGACATGGCGCATCGCGGGGAGGCAGAGTAGATGGAGGGTTGCGACGCACGCGTCAGACTCTCCAGCCACGCGTCAACTAGAGTATTGAGGAGAATCAGCTCGATCGTGAGGGCGCGAGTTGCGATATGCGCTGACAAGATAGGGCGGCTGATGGGAGCTGGTCGCACTGAGGTTCGCGGAGGGAGTTCGTGCTAGCCGCTTTGGGCGCGCCTCTTGTCGATCGCTCAGGAACGCCCATGCGCTTGCGAGTTTGCCCAGCTGCCGGCTCGCAACTCCCGCCGCCCCGCACACCTCATCTGTGCTTAGCAACTGTATCGTCCTTCATTCTCGTGCGTCACACCTCACTGGCAAGAAAATGTGTCACGCTGACCTTATGCCTGGGAAGGCTTTGCATCTGCACCTACCCCTGAGCCTCCGCACCTCACGACTCCTTGTGCCGTCGAATAAGCAACTTCCGGCACATGTAAACTGGATGCATCATAATTGGTTACTGCTCTGAGTCGGTATGTATATTCTACAGGTAGCATAAACTGCACTTTTCGTGATGATACGCTTTGAGGCAACGTCTTCTCAAGTCTACACCATGCGCCTTCCGTTGATACATTTCCTTCGCAACGACCACTGTCAAATTATGTCAGACTCTCTTTCCAGTCATCATGTCGCATGACTCATTTTACTGCTATTCCTCTCTTTGAGGTCTGGGTGAGGCTCTCGCTCACCGTGCCTGTCGTTTGCTCCTCCCTCATCCGTCTGTCCAAGCGCGATCCCCGCATATATCTTCGCGCTTTCTATTGCAAACAATTTCCGCCAGTTCCATTCGTCAAACAACCACCATGGCTTCGGCACGGCTGCAGCATCTTCGGAGGTTCGTCCAAACAGACCTTGATGCTCTTCCTGACCGCCCCGTGTCTCCACAACCTGAGCCCAACCCAGAACCCAAACCTGACCATGCCAGCTACGACAACTCCACTGGCGGTGTATCGCTGGAGAACGCACCGCCGAATGCGCCCGCTAGCAAACAAGACTCAACTAGTAAGATCGGTACGTCCATAAAGGCACCGCCTGCCGTCGAGAACACCGAGCGCCGATACGTCTGGGTCAAAGACGCCGATAGCTCCTTCAACCCAAACCTGGACTCGATGCGCCTGTCCACCGCCTCAGCCCCAGCTCCTCGAACTGATGCCGCTGGTCTTCCGGCTACCGATCTTCAACGTGGCGACCTAGCCTCACCTCGCCATCACTTCACACCCATCCAGGCACTATCGAAGTTCCCCTACAAGTACTGCGATAAGAGTCATATGCAAGAAATTGCATCTGCCTTCTTTGATCAAGGAAAGTTTTGGCAGCGAGAGTGGGACCTGTAAGTTGACCTCACATGATTACTCTAAAGAGGGATATCACCGCATTGCGACAACTCTCACCACTCACTTGCTAATCTTACCAGGTACTACGTCTGGAACATCGAAGAGACCCCCAAGCCCTTCGTACTCGTTCGTGAGAGTCAAGTTCTAGCCTTGCTTGGTGAGATCAACAAGCACCTAAATCTCTCTTTGAGGATCAGCGACCAGCAGCGCGAGGAGGTAACATTGCCCGCTCATACGCACTACCTGAAGTTTCAGACTAACTGTCATCTCCAGGGCCTACTCGTGCAATTCCCTGATCATCCCCGCTGCTTGCCTCGATACCTTGGACGTTCGCACTCGCGCGAAGACGTCGATAGCATGGCCGAGAACGCCCCCAACGAGCACTTCCGCGCGGCAGGCGAATATTCACACCCACCGCTTCAACAACCCACTCTGGAGAACTTCAAGCAACTGATGGAGAACCTCGCTGAAGCGCAGAAGGCGAAGAACAAGGCAAACAAAGCAAAGAAGCAGCAAGAGCGACTGGGCAAGAACAAGTCAATGACCGACCAGTTCAAACGCGCGTCAAGGTATCTCGGTTTCCGCGATTCTATCCAGGATCCTAGGTCGTCTACCTTGTCTCTTGCAGTCGATCCATCCCAGCCAGCTCCATTCCCCTTCGATCAGTCTGTCGTCTTTGTCTGTGTTGATGTTGAGTCGTATGAGAGGGCCCATCACAAGATTACCGAAGTTGGTGTCGCCACCTTGGATACACGCGAGCTGGTCGGTGTTCCGCCTGGCAAGGACGGGGAAGCCTGGAGAGAGAAGATCCGTGCCCGTCACTTTCGCATCAAGGAACATCGTCACCTGGTCAATTCCGAGTTCGTTGCTGGACATCCTGACAGCTTCAAGTTCGGCCACTCGACCTTTATATCACTCAAAGAGGCTGCGAGTCATGTCGCGGCCTGTTTCCACGCACCTTTCGCAGCCCAAGACGACGAAGACTTCCTTAGCCACTTTGATCCTACTGAGAAGCGTAACATTGTCTTCCTCGGTCATGATACTCTGGGAGACGTTCGGTACCTCCAACAGCTTGGATACGACCCGATGAAGGTAGAGAACATCCTCGAGGCCATGGACACCGCGACTATGTACAAAGTCTGGCGTCGGGAGCAGCAGCCTACCAATTTAGGCCGGATCATGAATGCCTTCGATGTCCCCGCGTGGTTTCTTCATAACGCAGGCAACGACGCTGTATACACCGTGTGGGCTATGCTAGCCATCTGCGTGAAGGAGGCTACACTCCGCGGCTCACCAGAGTTGGATGATCTGCGAGAGAACGAGATGAATGCTAAACTCCAGGCTGCTCTTGAGGATGCCGAGCAGAGGGTCAAGGACGATGCCGAGGGCTGGAGCGATCATGAGGCGACTGGAGACGGCGGCGTACCTGTACCCCTTGCGACTGCTCTTGCACCAAAGCTGGAACAGCCCGCGGCGAAGGCTATCCCGCAGTATGATGGTTACTCGGATTTCGGCTCTCGTGGACGTGGTCAGATGGAAGGTTATAGTCAGTCTGGCGGAGGAACCAGGTCTCGTGGACGGGCAGGTAGTCATTTCCAAGGAAGTAGTCGCGGTCGTGGCCGTTCAGACTCGCCCAGGGGTGCGTCTCGGCCAGAGGCCATTCCCAAGGTGGACTACCACTGGTAGGCAGGAAGTGGTGGTAGTGATTAGTGTACAGTGTGGGTCATTCGGATATTGAAGTCGTGGTTCTTCGCAGTCATGTAGTCCTGGGATGGTAGATACGGGGAGATAAGTCACTAGGGGTGAATGATCAAGTCTACATGAATCAAATCATGGATATAACTTGATGCACATGCATTTACATACTATCGGAGCCAAGAAAAGAAAAGCGCAGACAAGATACCGCAGTTTGCTGCAAGCGTACCCTCGCATTACTCAACTCATACGTCTGACAATGTGCTACTAAAGCTGATGAGTGGACACCTTTTTCTGTCCATCTTTTCACGGCTTGACCACATTCGCCCACGTCCCCATTGATCATTTTCTCCTATATTCCTTATACCAGCTCTCTTTGGAGATCGCAGCGCTCCTTTTTCCCATCTGTTTTTTTGTTCCATTCCTCTTTGGAGATTGCAATGCTTTTCTCTTTCCAACCTTGTCGCGTCTGTCTTTCTTTGACAATATTATTCAACGCTCCCCATTTTCACAACTTCCAACTGTATATCTCTCCCGACGTCTTTAGTCGTAGCAGCGTCTCATCTCTCAAATATCTCTCTCTTATCGTTCCCTGACCATCTTGTTCTCCCCAATCCCCCTCATACCAGACACCAATCCCTTCATCCCTCCTCCACCACCATCGTAAACCCGTCAAATAAACCCACCAGAATCATCGTTTCCATCCCTTCCATCCCTTCCATCACATCATCACACCAAACCCGTCCTGTACCTCGCCATCAATGCCAACACCCAGATTAACGGTGTCGCACTGATTGGTATAGTCTCCTGCTCTTTCTTTCCGGGAGATACCCTATTGGCACTGTCCCGCCAGTTGTCTTGAGACAGCATCGCTTCGTATCCTCGTGTCATATACACGAGCCTCGCGAATGCAGTCGAGAGATCTAGTCGTCTCTTTGCGGTGTCGATCTTTGTTGCGCGAGTGTCGTTGTTGTTCTCGTTCTCGTCCTTGTCCTCATCGTCGTTCCCGTGCTCGTGGTTCCCATCGACCTTGCCTGAAGCTAAGATCTGCCACCTTTCGGCTTAGACGGGCTCCTACTCACTCGCGATCTCTCCGGTGCCTTTACCGGTGCCTTCGCTGCTGTCTTCGCTGGCGACTTTGCCCTGGTCTTCGCCGGTGACTTGCCCCTTCCGTTCGTCGTCTCTGCAGCTGTCTCTTTATCTTCTTTCACCTTCATCGGCGATGCCGCCATCTTACTCAAAACATTCTCGTTGAGAGATCCTACGGGCTTCCCGGCATTGCGCGTGCTCCTTTGGTTGGGGGCCTGGGATGCAGCAGGGGGCGCGAGACGAGCGGTGCTGGTTGCGTTCGTCGCGGAGGTGTTGGCCGTTGTGGTGTCGTTGTTTGGGTTTGCTGGCTCCTCGGTTGTAGGTTGTGTTTCTGGGAGGATGTCCATGTTCTCGGCAACAGATGGAGCTGTCCCACTGGCTTCAGTCGCCGTGTTTGCTTCACGAGGGGTATCAACAGCGTTCTCTGTCATCATCTCGTTCAATGTCGGAGTCTGCTCATCACCCAAGCCTAGCGTCGTCCTCGACGCCTTTGATGACCTAGGCGGTCGCTGCAACGATCTAGGTGGCATCTGTGACGACCTCGGCGGCTCCTCACTGTCATCTTCTGTCAAGAGCCGCTTCGTAGCAGGCGTCAAAATGATAGCGGGCTTGCGAGTAACGGCAATTGGAGTCATATTCTCCAAAGCCAGCGTCTGCTCACCACCAAGGTCCTCCTCAGTCCTCGGTACCTGAGACGGCTTCAACGACGCTTCCTCATCGCCTTCAATGCCAATCTTCCGCTTGGTAGCTGGAGTCAGCTCAATGGCGGGGATATCAATGTCGGGGATATCGCCAACGATCTGAGGCGGCTGCTTATTTGGACTCGGCGAAGGCATGGCATAGAGGTCGTCGTTGCTGTGGTCGCTTTCATCGATGATGGTATCGCCGTCAATGACGAGAGTATCGCCTTGAGTGTTGGTCTCGCCCTTCTCTGCGTCTTGCTCGGGAAGAGCTGCTGACTCCGCGCCAACTTCGTCGCCAAAGCCGTATGTGAAAGTGCCCGAGTTGTCTGCGTCGCCCTCGAAAGAATCCCAGAATAAGTCGATTGACGCGTCGCCATCGTCTTCCACAACGTCTTCCTCAACTTCTTCCTCAACGTCTTCCTCTTGTCTCGGAAGCTTGAATGCTGGTCCACCGCCAGGCGTCAGCAGTTTTCCTGTTGGAATCTCTGCACTCTCGCCGCTGAGCCGAAGCTGTTTCATCGGTCTGGGTGTCTCGCCCTCATCATCAGACTTCCGCTTCAACTCATTTAAGCCGTCGATGTATGCTGGGAGTGTGATTGTCCTAGCATTCCACTTTGCGGTGAGATCTTTGTGGTCCTTTGGCGTCGAGGTATCGGGAGTGGTTGTAGGGCCTGGTAATGCGGTGAGGAGGGGTGTAGACGGGCTTGTGAGTCCGGCGACGGAGACGAGACGTGGCTGGTTATCGAGGGGATGGTTGGAAGAGGTCGCGCTCGGTGGTTTCTGCGTCTCAGATGGAGTGAGCGACTTCGCCGCGGGTGCAGCCATCTCTGTAGCTTTCGCACCGTCGATCTCCGACTTCAACTTCTTCACCTCCGTCTCCAGTGTCTCGCGATGAGCAGCCTCTTTCTTAAGCTGCTCTTTCAGCTCCTCATTCTCGTCGTTAAGAGCGGTCTGCACCTGATCGTTGACCTCCTTCGCCTCCGCAGCGATGCCTTCCCACTCTTTGACCTGCTCTTTGAGCGCGGTGACTTCCTTGCTATGCCTTAATCGCACCTCGTGGAAGTCTCTCTCCATCGAAGCTGCATCAGCTCTGCCCTTCTCTTCTTCTTCCCGGGACGCTTTCAACTGCATGTTTAGAGAAGCTGCGTTGGCCTCAGCCTCTTCCTTCTCTTCTTGGACTTTTCCCACGAGTTCTCTCACTTGGGCCAAGCCAGATCCAGCGGTTTTTATGGCTTCGTTCGCACAACCCAATTGCTCCTTGACTGAGAGGAGTTCCACGTTAGCCGTCTGCGTTTCCTGTCGTGCAGCTTCCAGCTCGGCCTCCAGGGAAGCCACTTGAGCTTCAACCGCCTCAACCTCTTCCGGTACTGCCTGAGGCTCTTGATCATGAGAAGCCATGAGCGAAGCGACTTCGGCTTTAGCCCCATCGGCCTCTTCCCGCACCAGCCATAGCTGCTCGTCCTTGGACGCAGCTTCCATCTTGGCGTCTACAGCCTCTTGCCGCGCCGCCCGAAGTTGATGCCCCATATCCTCCAGTGCATCTCGCTTTGGCGTTGATGAGTTGTGAGACGAGGTGGACATTCTACTCGGGTGCGCAGGCTTGCTCGTAGACTGCTGAAGCTCTTTGACCAGCGCATTGCTGCGTTTCAAGCGCTCGGTCGTGTCCTTGAGTGCCTCCTGTAGTTTGCGGACCACTTCTGGTGTTTGTGTAGGCTCTTCGCGCACGGGTGTCGCAAAGTCTGGAACCGAGTCGACCTGTGTAGTCCGACGCGCTCGATCGGACCTCGCCTTCTCCTTCATCTCGTGCTCCTTCTGCTGCTTTCTCGCATCTTCCAGCTCTTTCCGTAGACCAGCATTAGTCTTGAGCGTAATCTGAAGCCAATTATGAACGCGCCAAGTGATAGCCTTCCATGTGTACCGGTCGACTCCTGGTGGAGTCCTTGCGCCTTTCCAGATCCTCATCACACTTACAGTGCCCCGACAAGTCATGGCAGCGTACAACGCATATCTGAGGGCGCGATATTCGAGAGCGGAATTGGCCTTGTTCATGATAGTGTAGCCGGCGCTTACAAGCTTGAACAGAGTTGGTGAGACGAAGGCGTCCATTTTTGCGGCTGTGTTGTTTTGGAGGTGGCGGAAGCGGTGACTGTTGATGTTGTGTTTCTGGTCTTCTTGATGGTCTTTGTCGCGGTCACTGCAGCGGTGGCGGCGGCGGTTCTGGTGACGGTCGCGAAGTTGGTACTGACGCCTTGTATGAGACCTGATGTTCCTGGTGCAGTATGTAAAGGGGTAGTGGATGAGAACGTCTTTTCCACTTGTCACAGGGCTAAATGGTATGTTAGTGATCGTGTGGGTGGGATGATGAGGTGGGGTTTGGACTTACGTTGATAGCGTGACTGCGGTAGAGACCTTGTCGTGCAAGTGTTCGCTCGTTCGGTTGCAGTGTAGTTCCTTTGGGCTGTTTATCTGAACCTCAGCGTCTTCAATCTCACAGTGGTAGGGTGCAGATGCGGGAGTGTGCGTCGCAGTGTCGTCGTGGTGTCGTCGCAGTGGGCTGAGAATATTCAAAGGTAGAGGGGTAGCAGAGTCGCGACTCAATGAATGCAAGGAAACAGAAAAACTCTTGTTTACACTCGCTAAGTCGCAATAGTGTGCGCTGACGTAACGGAAAAGTCACGTTGTGGGAAGGCTTGGTCTTTCACTGATGCGGTCGGGAGCCAAACAAAGGAACAAAGAGATAAGAAGACTGTCATAGCTGGATTCGAGAAGACACACGGAGTATTGGAAAGATGTTGCTTTTACATGTGCCTTTTGCAGAAATGATTTCTGGGAAGGAAGATGCGTACTAGATGTCGCAACTGAACCTCAGGGTTGCCCACCAAGTTCCCCCAAACCCGCACTTCAGAGCCCCGTTCGACGCCGCACGAGGCGCGCGCACCAGAACATCCGTCTGAGCCATCATCATAAGCTCAACACTTGCCATCAAAGACCTCACTTGCTCTTCTGCCCCCACCACGACTCCGCCTCCGCCGCTTTCCACTCATCGTACTCTCCCGCCGCACGTTCAATCACAGCCTGCTCAGCAGCCGCCTGCCACGTCTTGGCCAAGTGCCCATTTTTGAGATCTTCCTGGAACTTGGCGACATCGGTGCGGAAACAATTGTTTGCTAGCGTGAAGGCTGACGGCCGTGTGTCTTCTGTGTTGCCGGCGCTGATCTTAGCGAGGAGAGCTTGGTGCGTGGTGTTCTCGGGAAGCATGGAGATGAGTGTAGTTTGCTGCTCTGCGCTGAGGTTGGTCCAGGCTGGTCCTTCAAGAAGCATGTGCTGCGATGTGTGAGCTCTTTGATGTGTGGATAGTGAGGAGATGGCGACGAAGACTTACGTAGATGTCGGCTTTGACTAGGCGGCTGGAGGAGTTGGTGGTGATGTAGACGGGATCGAAAACTTTGCTTGGTCCCTTCTTGGTCGGGACAGCTTTGGGAGTGGGCTTTTCCTCAAACTCCTCGAACCGCTCTGGTGCTTTGCGGTTGCGCGAGGGGCGTGAGCTGGGTGTTGCTGCAGGAGCGGGTTTCTTGGCTGCTGCTTTCTTCGGGGCTGGCTTCTTGGGTGCAGGCTTCTTTGGAGCAGGCGTCTTCTTTTTCGTAGTCTTGGCTTTTGTTGCTGAGCTTGTGCTCCTGGCTGCGCGTTTGGGAGGCGGTGTACCGAAGGCGGGCTCTTCGTCGTCATCATCGACTTCTTCGTGAGATCTCTTCGGGCTCTGCTTAGATGCGCGTTTAGCGCCCATGTTGGATGTCGGCATGGTAGTAGATGCAGGCGCCAGCGCCTGCTGAGGTAAGGATGGAGACTCGATCGATGGCATGATGGACGAGTCGTTTTCTGTTGTTGAGATGGCAGAATTTGGGACTTGGCTCGGCAGGCTTGAGGGGATGGGTGAGACCTGCTCAGATGGAGAAGAGGGCGGCGAAGATAGAGGTGATGAGTCTGGGTCAGAGTGGTGCATCTTGGCTCGTTTGTTTGGTGTTGTTGGAGGTGGTGCGGTGGTTTGCTCTGATTTTGGTGCGGGCGGAACAGGTGTCGGTTGATAGTCGTGTGGAGAGGTGAGTCGGGTGGCGGACGAAGGTCTATGATTGTCAATCGAAGCTGAGAGAGACGACATGTAGGTTGCCAATGCGCGTTGAGCTTTCTATTGTCGGGCAGTGGATATAGGTGAACAATAGGTGAACAATAGGCTAATGGACCAAGCGACAGTCACGTGTGAAAAGAAGACGGCGATGCATGAAGTGAATGTGGAGGTTGTATTGAGCAGTTGCACAATGATAGTCACGCGCTTGGCAGGCAAGTCGTGAAGACGCGGCATGGTACATGCAGTAGTGAAGAATGGGAACGCACCTTACTGGTAACGACATTTTGTCGTTCGGACTGAATGCAAGAGTTTGATGTGAACTTGAGCAGGTGTTTCTTAAAAGACGTCGTAAGCGCAGGCGACTACCTGGGTGGGCTGAGATGGACGGCAGCTGGCAAAATGCCGGTGGGTGTCGTTTGCGTTGAGGCAGTAGCTATCGCGTTCCGCAAGGCTGATCTACCAATGACCAAGGTCGCGTTCCACCGGGAAGCCTGCGCGTCGAGCGACTTAAATCAGGGTTGAAAGCGTGTCCGCCACTCGATGCATAGAGTGAAGGTGTTGAAAGGGTACGCGAGGATAGAAGCTCGGCTCCGCATGGTGGCTGGGGCGCTGAGTTGAGGTTGTACCAGATGTACTGTCACAAGGATACCGGTATTACTTCAGTCAGTCTCTCTGGTCTCGGGATTTGAATGAACGCGTCTGTAGAGTCACGAAGGACAGTGCATTGAAGGGTCGCGGCATGCTGGTTGTTCTGTGATTGCCGTTGGCGCGTCCGTGCGCTTTCCCGCGCGACCTTTCCGCATCGTCATCTTTGCGATCTGGTATCATCAGCCCGACACGCATCCCCTACCACGCGACTACTCACCCTCGGGCCTAATTTTGCGCTCGACATATTATTTGGCGACGCTGCACACTCACCAGCCGTAGTTCTCCGCACCCTCAACCGCCACCATGATCAAACACACCATAATATCGCGGCTCGATGGTCAGTAACTCAGCCCTATTGAAGGCTGCACACGTGCTGATACATGTCTAGGCCTTCATTTGGTAGCCTCGGTGGACAACAACCAGGTAACGGCGCCTCTCGAGCTGTTCACGTAGCCTAAACATGGGACTCACGTTTTCTAGAATGATGCCGAGTTCAACGAGGCCACGAACAAAGTAAAGATGTTACAGCGACGTCTAAACCGTAACGCCGAACAACAAGCAAGTATAGAGAGTGGAAACTACACATTCCAGTATGCGCATTGCCCCTACCTTTACGTGCAGAGAAGCATCCTCGATCACATGCTAACGCAACCACCAGCTACATCATCGAAGGCGACCTCTGCTTCCTCTGCATATGCGACCGTTCCTACCCGCGCAAACTCGCCTTCACATACCTCTCCGACCTCCAACGCGAATTCACCACCACATACCAACCGCAACAGTACCTCTCACCCACATGCCGACCGTACGAATTCGTCGGGTTCGATCAGTTCATTCAGAGCACAAAGAAGACATACCAAGATTCGAGGGCGACACAGAATTTAGACAAGTTGAACGATGAGCTGAAGGATGTTACAAAGGTCATGACCAAGAACATTGAGGATCTGCTGTATCGAGGAGACAGTCTGGAGAGGATGGGCGATATCTCGAGCCGGTTAAGGGAGGACAGTAGGAAGTACAAGAAGGCTGCTGTGCGCATCAACTGGGAGTTGTTGTTGAAGCAGGTGAGTTCAGGACGGAAACACGTTGTGGTAGCAGACTTGGAATACTAACGATGCGCAGTACGGACCCATCGGCGGACTAGCCTTCATCATCATCGTCTTCATCTGGTGGAGATTCTTTTAGACACATGCAGCGAGTCGGCACTCAGCATGTACCAAGGAAGGCATTTCAGGCACCGTTGGCGTTAGAGGCGCATACATTGCCGAAAAACGGCTCAAGATACACAACAATACCCAAGCTCCAGCTTTTCGTATACAAGTCTTGATACACACAACCCTGGTTCCACGATGTGAATGCTTGCGTTGTCAGGAAGACAAGGATGCCCTCCCAAGCCTCTAGCTCTGATTGGCTGGAAGCATATCGTGAGCACTACATACCTCGCTAATCCTTCACACCATGTCTGCCCCACTCCACACTACTAATTTCGATTTGCACCTTTTTCCTTTTGCCTGTTCAGCACACTTCGACGGATACTGCAGTCGACGACAGTGGACAGGACGTATACGGACAACGCTATGCCATCGGGCAATACGACGCACGCCATGTGAACACCGCACAGGACTCGGACGCACGTGCCAGTATCGACACCATGACGGAATGATCAGATATGAGGGGGGTGGTTTGTAAGAGGAGGGAGAGAGAATTTGGGGCTATAGGAGCAGGCTGGGACTCTTGACCGGACTATACGGTCCAGACCAATTGTCCTTTCTCCAGTCGGAAACAATGAAGCCAGCTAGTGCCAATGGCCCCGTGGATTGTAGGAAGCACGGGAAGAAAGACTGTCAAGATACGATGGAAAGATCGGGTCAAGAGGAATACATGCCTACTTCGAGCAAAGAGAGTGGAGATATGGCCGTATTTCGGGGGATTCTATGGATGAGGCATGCCGCCGTTCCCATATCCATTCACACCAGTGACGACCTAGCTTCGGAGTTCCGGTGCCCAAGGACCCCGGGCCATAGCATTCTTCGTGCGGAATCGCTCCATCGGGATAACTGCGCGATAAACTTCCACGTTTGGGAACTACTATGTTGGACTGCATAACTGTCATTGTCGAAGGAAGGCGCATTCGGAGTGCGCGATAAACTTGCTAGTACTGGTCGTGGTTGACCATTTCGTTCATTCTCGGCCGACCTAGGAAACAGCTAAATACCCCGGAGCCTACACCGACGTTAGGTCACCTACTTTGCGAGCCTTTTAAGTTGCTGTAGTCCGCAGACCTATTCGCATCACAGACAGCACCCCTCCCAATGACATTCTCAAACGCCACCACAATGACTAAACCCCAAATCATACTCATTCCCGGTGCCTGGCACACACCCTCCGCCTTCTCCCTTCTTACTACCGAGCTGCACGCTCTTGGATACACAACGCACGCGCGCCAACTCCCTTCCGTCGGCAGCACAACACCTACCACTGACCTCTCAGCCGACATCGCCATCGTCCGGTCCATGATCAACACCGCCATCGGCGACTCCGGCAACGACGTCGTCGTACTAGCCCACAGTTGGGGCGGCATCGTCGCCAGCAGCGCGCTCGTCGGCTTCGGAAAAACCGAGCGAGAAAATCGAGGGGAAAGAGGAGGGGTTATCAGATGTGGATACATCGCTGCCAGCATGCTACCCGAAGGTGTCAGCCTAATGGACTCGGTGAACCACACCTTTCCTCCTTGGACTGAAATCTCCGGACCGTATATCCACGCTCTCGATCCACATGTCTTCTACTCCGACCTTCCTCCCGACGAACAGGCATACTGGTTTTCGCAAATCCAACCGCATTCGCTAGCGAGCGCTTATGCGAAGACGACGGGGGCGGCGTGGAAGAATACTCCTAGTGCTTATTTGGTTTGTGAGGAGGATAGGAGTATGCCGGTCATTGCGCAGGATAAGATGATTGAGATGGCAAGGGCGGAAGGTGGGGAGGTGCAGGTGACTAGATTGGGTTGTGGGCATAGTCCTTTTCTGAGCCGCGTGCAAGAGACGGTTGAGTGGGTTAGGAGGGTCGCTGGGGAGGAGATTTGAAGAAGTGGAATACGGGAGGGGTCAGGTTTCCAACAAAAAAGTCCGGGTTTTGGAGCTAAGTCGTCGGATTGCGGTGTCTTGCAGCCGTTTCCACGCTTATTATTCCCCGATCTGTGAGCAACTGTCCCGTACACGTCGGTATCGATCCCAGGTCGGTGGAGGAGGAGCGAATGCGATGAAGAAGACGAGAACACCAACGGACAATTCACGGAACCGGCAGACTCTCTCGCCTGCGTGTAGTCAACGATTGGCTTAGGCGATGATCTCAGGCTTCCGGCTAAGCACGTTTGTTCACAGGTCGGCCGATGATCTGCGTATGATTGATGATTGTGTCAGTGATCTATGCCCAAAGCATCGCGTATTTACATCGAGCGAAATCGCGATGCTTCGGGCATAGATCACTGACACAATCATGCGAAATCATGATCTGTGTATGTTCGTTGATCTCATGGACAGTCGACCTGGACGATAATTGTCCTACGGAATGCGCAGACGAAAAGGAACTCTATCACACTCTCCATATACTGGAACGGGCGTGTCAGCCATCGCAAAACCTCCACGCGCATCATCCTCCCGTAACCGCAAAATCGAGCAATTCAACGGGCGCACACTTTACGTATCGCAATTCCTCCCCGGTCTTGGGAATTATATCAGTGAAAGTATTGGATGCTTGCATAGATGGCTATGCTAGCAGCCGTTACTTCCACTACTATAATTCTTAAGACCGGGGTAGGTAGTGTGAGTATCCCGCACACCTTGCACACCTTAACCATTACCCCAATCTTTAATATTCCGTTGGACAAGGTTGCTATCACAATCTCCACCAACGTTATCTTAAACATCGGGTGTATGTCAGTCAGAGGTAGCCAGCACAGAGCAGCTAGTCTGACTCGATTCGTGTTGTCTTGTCGCTCTGATGCATTCTGCAAT